ATTTGTAACTGGAGATATGCCCTAAATAATGGAACTGCCTCTGAAAAAAATTAAAAAAATGGATATAAGATGTGGGCGTGGCAATTTACGGAAAAAAAATATTTCAGTTAAATTAGTATAGTATGAGAAATATATGAGCGAAGTTTCAGCTAGATACCTTGTTCCTACGACTTTATGCCAAAAAAAACGGAATTGGGACCAATGCATTGGTACGCATTTATGTATTTACATTTATTTCATTCGTTTGTACAAGAAATAAAACATTTGCATTTTGCTGTTATACTCTCGGTGAAACATCGAAGTACATAAACATAAAAAATTGTTCACTCACCACATTTCTATGAATTTTTTAATACAAAAATTCCATTCCATTCCACAGTACAATATTTAGCATTTTTTCCATTATTCGACAATGGCTTTATTTCGCCAGTAACAAGTAAATCAAATGGTTAATACATGAATTTGCATATCAAGTTGACGGCAAAACATATCCACGCGCCTTTGTGGTCGTCAATATGTAAATGTCTGGCAACAGCCAATTGCACCATCACCATCACCACCAAGAGAGCACCAACCCAGTGGGAAAATGTAATGTTTGAAATCAAAAAAATAAATAATCAGTAAAACAGCCATTTTCACATACGAAAATTCATTTCTCCCACAGCGAAGTCCTAAGAAAAGTGGGGCATTACCTAATATCGAGGAAAGCATGTGATTTAATATGCATGTTTTGGGACTTTTCGGATACATTAGAAAGCTTATTACATGCTAATCAGTAACAGATTTCCCACTGGGATGTTACAAGGCTTATAACAGCGGGTGCCTTCGTTTGAGTACACAGTTAAAAATTTCGGTTTTAATTTTAAACTTTTTGGACCACATATATGACCAAACTAAATTCAGTTTCAAATACAAACCTTCCAAGTTTATAAAAAAGAGAGCACATATGTTGGGTTTAGAATTTAAACAATTCGGTTTAAATGATAACCCAAACATTTTCATAATTAAGAATAAAAAAAAAAACAATCTTAAATTTCATGCTCCGTCTGGTTGGGATTGAACCCGGACAGCCTTGGTAGCAACCAATTGTATCAAGCATCTTTGCACACTCAGCTACAGCCACGCATGTNTGAATCAACACCACAATTCGCTGTGCAAACATATTCTATTTCGGTTTAGATTTTAAACCAAAGTTTCTATATTTGAAACCTAGAAACTAGAATTAAAACATTTTGGTTTGATTTTTAAACCAAGAACTTTTTGGGCTAAAATTTAAACCAGAATATATTAAAAATTGCGTAAAACTATTGACTGGTTTAAAAAGTAGACTATAAAAGTTTAAAAAATGCAGTAGTCCCAGCGCGGTTTAAAAATTAAACCCAAATTTTTGACCGTGTACTGCGTTGATTGTACACTGACGATTGCCTATCTGCTTGTCTGAATTGACATTTTGACTGAATAAATACATACAGCATCGAAGCAGTAATGTAAAGTGGAACTCAAAATTGCCGGCTCGTGTTCTGAGTATTGTTATTTTTATACGACAAGTGCATGTTTAGGCATTGTTTCATTTATTTATTTAAATTTGCTGCAGATGAGTGTCATCAAATTAGCTTATCGTGAGGAACATTTTCGTTAAAATCAGGTTTTTACTCGTAAATATAAAAGAAAGCATTTCTCTAGTGCTCAAGTGGGTTTACTTCAATACACACGAAATTTTATATAAACGCTTGAAAATTAAGCATTTTTGGTAATTTAAAAACTAGATGTTTATGTCTAGCGCCCAAGGGGTGGATAAAATCTTACATATGTATGTTATTGAAGTAATAATACAAAGTACGAAAGAAAAAGTTAGACAATCATCTATTTGCCACTCTTTAGTCGCTCTCTACATTTCATGTCCGTCTATATTTTTCTCGATATTTCTTAGATTACAAAACTTTTAGTCCGGTGTTTAAGACCAAAAATCTGCGCGTAGCTTATAAATTGCCAAATCTTTATACAGAGTTTTTGAAGGCAAAAAAAAAAACTCAGATCACTTTTCAAGTTGCTAAGAACTTATGCCCAATCGATGGCAAAAAATTATCAGCACTTTGGAATTTACTAAAAATTATGCACAATTTTTACACACCTAAAATCTAGGTAAACTTTATCAATGCCAAAAATGTATGTCCAGTTTTTATGTTATCACAAGTTTATGTTCAACTTTTAAGCTATCAAAAGTATTTGTTCACTTTTCAAAGCGGAAAAATTTATGTCCAGTTTTTTAAAGACAAAGAAAATGAATTTCCCAAAACTGTGTGTGCAGTCTTTAAATCGTCCATAATTTATGTCCAGTTTTTTAAAGACAAAGAAAATGAATTTCCCAAAACTGTGTGTGCAGTCTTTAAATCGTCCATAATTTATGTCCAGTTTTTTAAAGACAAAGAAAATGAATTTCCCAAAACTGTGTGTGCAGTCTTTAAATCGTCCATAATTTATGTCCAGTTTTTTAAAGACAAAGAAAATGAATTTCCCAAAACTGTGTGTGCAGTCTTTAAATCGTCCATAATTTATGTCCAGTTTTTTAAAGACAAAGAAAATGAATTTCCCAAAACTGTGTGTGCAGTCTTTAAATCGTCCATAATTTATGTCCAGTTTTTTAAAGACAAAGAAAATGAATTTCCCAAAACTGTGTGTGCAGTCTTTAAATCGTCCATAATTTATGTCCAGTTTTTTAAAGACAAAGAAAATGAATTTCCCAAAACTGTGTGTGCAGTCTTTAAATCGTCCATAATTTATGTCCAGTTTTTTAAAGACAAAGAAAATGAATTTCCCAAAACTGTGTGTGCAGTCTTTAAATCGTCCATAATTTATGTCCAGTTTCTCGATTTTTCCAAATGTTAAATTATCAAAAGTTTGTTTTCAGTTTTTAAGCTACATGAAATTTATATGCAGTTTTTAAAAAAGAAAAAAAATATGGCCTGTCTACACTTTCACGCCTTCAAGCTAATTTTTGGAAATCCATGTAATCGATCCCGATTTGCTTCAGCCAGCTTAACTATCTGGAAAAAATATTATTTAGGGCATGCTGAGGCGTACTGGTATCGAATGGTCAAAACAAGGAGCGTCAAGTGCATCTGGATAAATTCAATTACCTCAGTGTGCCAAGTTTGTAAAGCGCTGTCATTTAATTTTTTATTTGTTATTATGTTTTCACAAACAAAACCAAAAACCTTTGTAAGTACCTATGTATGTATCTGGGATAGGGCGTTATTCAACTAAGTTCTGAGATAGGGCCTTTTTCAATCAAATACTAAAGTAGGGCATTCTTGAAAAGTTTTCGGAAATAGGGCGTTTTCGAACTGGCTGCCGAGATAGGTTGATCTGTCACTCAGGTATCGATATATTCCTCACTTAAGTACACTATTCTCTTCACTTTTTATTAACTTTTTATTGGTATTATTTAAATTGTAAAGTAGGGAATATGGATTTATCCTCTTACTCTGAGGGTTTAAGAGATTAGAAAAATACTTTGATTTATTTAAAACTAATTTCGCAATCATAAGGACCAACTGAAGAGCTGAAAACTTTTAAGAATACACAAAAGAACACACATCATCCGACCTTAAAACAAGTACTCGACAACACCGTTATCTGAAGGTTTTAAGTAAGGCATCTTATAGTGACTTTCTGATCCTTAAATTTAAATTTCAAGCTTAAGTTTTCCTTCTATTAGATCACTTATATAACCAGTAAGACTTACTTAGATGTACTTGTCTAAAAACTCGTATATTTAAACTTTTTATAAGGTAAATATATACCTGGAAAATTCAGAATTAAGACCAATAATCTCAACCTATTTGTACTTCCTCAACTCTACAAATATTTGTATCTATATAGAACTTTGATCTTGACAGTGAATGTCGAACGCTAATAGCAAAACTTCAGTAGAAAAAAAGCTCTTCAAAGATAAACTTTTCTGTGAACCATAGGATATTTTAAAATGTTCCAAAGCCGAACTTGGTTTACCTGTTTATAACTTTTACATTATACATGATACGTATGTACGTATATGTACATACGTATGTAAATATAAATTTATTTAGAGAATTGTATTCAATTTTAACCTACTTTCCTAACTTTCCTTCCTACCATTTCTTTTCTTTACAGTCACAGAAAAAGAAATTCGACAATGGTAAGTGCACATGCAATGGATTTAAATAAGTAGCATAGGATTATTAAATATTTAATCAGATTGAAAAGCATTTTAACAAAAGAAATGAAGTTAGCAACGAAAAGAAGAGGACACTGATGGGCAAATAGCTTCAACTAAAACTGTTAGCTCTCTTCTTGAATATATTTGCATTAAAATCCTTTGAAAGTTACCCAAAAAAGGAACAGCGAAACATCGCGACTCAGCAACAAGCACTAACTTACCGACTTAATAACCTTACACATTCTACTCGCGTTTTTCTTAAATTTCTAAGCATGCCACTGACATTAAGCAACCGCATTACTGTTGATATAGGCCACAATTCTTCGTATGGGGAAGCCAATGAAACAACAAGTAAAAATTTCGCAAAGCCACGCAAAATGTATTTCAGCTGCCAGCTAAGCTTCCTACTGGAATCGGTTGCTTCTCCTACTACTTAAAAGCTTAAAAACTTGGAATTGAATTAGTGCACCAAAAGCCGTGAATTTAATTCAATTGAAGCGTATCAAAAAAAAACATTCCGGTAAAGTAAGCAATCCTAAAAGCAGTAAGATACATTTTTTTTTTTAATGAGAGTTGACGGCAAATTTACAACGCCATTCCACGCTTTACAGCAGATGTTGGCGCTTAAAGCAAAGCGAACAGGTGGCTTAGTCATAAGTAGCAGATTATATGGCTTGCCACGCACACTACCTCAAGCAAATTCCTTTTTCTGCTATTACAAATATTTAGTATGTATTTTCACATGTATGAATTTGAAGTTGTACATTAATTTATCTGTAAATACAAAATAATGAATACAGCTAAGCGCACAATGTGTGCCCTAAATTATTCGAAATGGAATTTTAATTAGTTTGAAAATGTATTTTGTGTAGATTATTGTAGATTAAATGAATTTTAATTGCCTCCGCCTCGGTGATGGACCCATTTGCGGTGCTGATGACACACAAAGAATATTCCAAGACATGGCAAGTTAAGCAAATTTTCCGCGGATTTGTAAATTACCAAGCTTAAAAGTCATTGCTCAACGATGAAGCACCCAAACAGCGTGTACGGCAATGAGTTGCTTGAAACTTAATAGACAGCGCAAATTACAAAATGACTAGCTGGAAATTTTATGGAGATTTTAGAACGACAATATCTTTAAGTTTGTTATACGTGTCTGCAAAACAAATAAAAGCATTTTAAAATTTTCATACGATCGCCACAAAGCCCTAGGGTAGATGACAACAACTCTATTGCTTTGAAGCAGTGTGGATGAGTCCTACTGACACTGCTAGTAAACGTTTCTAAGTCATGGAGTAGAGTAGGGGCAATGTTCATTCCAGAACTTAGAAGAAGGAACTACTACGAAGCTAAACCATTGAAGCCGATAAGTCTAATTTCCCTTTTGCTGAAAGCAATCGGCAATGAAATAAGATTAAATAGTCTGAAGCAGGCTCCATTTCAGACCAATCCGAATGAATGCATTTAGTGTGGGAAGGTCTACGAAAACTGTCCGCGTTGTCTACGGAGATACAAGGGTATCTATTTGTGCTTCCGTCTACATTGAGAACCCTTCGATAAAACGTCTGATTCAGGCTTATGTCGGGCATTAGAGAAACGGAATGTGCGAATAGCTTAGCTAGTTCAAACAAGAATTACTCAGTTTCAGCATTTAAGACAACCTGGTACGGTTTCAAATAACAAAGCCTAGAATTAGATGTAGTATTTCTTCAAGTCTTACCTGACAGAGGCATCCGCTGTCTGGGATATGCAAGTGCCGAAGTATTAATTGCCAGAGAAAAGTTCAAAAGTAGCTTCTGCAATTTAGCTCAAAGAGGACTTAGCTTAAAAAAATGGTAAGCCAAAGTAATAGAAGAACCTTTCCAGCTACATAGGCATTAATGATATGCAAATTGCATGTCTGAGGGGTGTAACCCACAGATAAAGAGATCTATGGACGATGGCTTGGGAATCACGAAGTAATTTAGCCACGGTGAGGCAGTCTCTAATCAAACTTCGACGTTTACTTATATTTAGATATATAACCTGAGCATGTCTCGCGACGGCTATTATGAACAAAGTAGTTGTTTCCGAGAAGAGGAATTTCAAAATATAGCTCTGCAGCAACGCAACCTTGAATGCCTCTCTTATGGAGGCTCATACCCAGGCGAGCATTCTGCAGTGGTACATTGACTGCCTAACTCCGAGCACTTTTTTCACGCAGTTTTACATATTTACTCTACGAACCAAGGTTAATTTAAATAGAAACTACCTTTATCAGAACCTTCCTATACTTAGCAACAGACCATCTTAGAATTTGAGACTAAATCCTCTCCATTCCTTGAGTGCTTTAAAAAAAATTAACGCCATTTCCAAACCCAATGATATCCGAAAATTTTACATACCAGGGTACAACTATATAAAGGGGAACGATGTAGCAGGCGGCTTTTTAATTTTTCTTACTTACAAAATTTAACTTTTTGTCTTTGGTATTTGATAAAGAAAATCTTAGCTCGAATAACGGTGTCCTCAATCTTTGTAAAAAAACGAGCGACAACTGCTTAGAAGGTTGTCGGATTCGTTGTCTGTGATTGAAGTATTGCGATTGGTTTTTATACCCGAGCGCACTTGTGCACAAGGGTATTATAACTTTGTTCACATAACGGTTGTTTGTAACAGGCAAAACGAATCGAGATAGATATAGACAAATGTATACATAAATGATCAGAATGAAAAGAGAAATCGATTAAGCGGTGACTGTCTGTCCGTCCGTCTGTCCGTCCGTCCGTCCGTCCGTCCGTCTGTGCACACGATAACTCGAGTAAAAATTAAGATATCTTAACGAAACTTGGTACGTGTACTTCTTTCGGGCGTAGGACGGATGGTATTGAAAATGGGCAAAATCGGACAATAACCACGCCTACCTCCCATATAACGGTAATTTTAAGAAATACGAAAACTGCGATATTTTAGTAACTACTGAAGATAATTCACTCAAAATTGATACTTACAATGAGTTTCAGACGGAAAACATGAATATTATAAATTTTTGGAAAATGGGCGTAGCCACGCCCACTTATGGTTACATGTGTATATCTTGGTAACCGCTACACCAATTTCTTCCAAACTTGGCACAGTTGTTGGTCCTGGTACAGTATACCAACTGGCCGAAAATTTCTAAAATCGGACAATAACCACGCCCACATCCCATATAACGGTAATTTCGAGAAATACAAAATCTTCGATAAATCAGTAAATATTGAAGCTAATTTATTCAAAATTGATGATTGCAACAATTCTTTACCAAGAAATACGTTTATGACAAAATTTTGGAAAATGGGCGTAGCACCGCCTACTTGTGATCACATATATGTATCTCGCTAACCGTTCTAGCAATTTGCACCAAGCTCGGTATGGTTATTGTGCTTGCCACATAAAAGCAAACCGTTGAAAATTGTTGAAATCGGACTAAAATTGGGGCCGCTTTTCATATAACGGTAAATTTCAGATATGCTTGAAATTTCAATATTTCGAAATTTAAGGACGCTAATTTACTTAAAATGTATACACCCCGGCTTAGCATGTAGCGGTAGCTTTCGGAAAGGTGGAAAACATATATTTAATACTTGCGCCGGGTATTTAATGTTCGGCTCCACCCGAACTTAGACTTTCTTACTTGTTTGTTCTATTTTTTAACAATTTTCTAACAAACATATTTAAATTAAAATTATCTAGGAAATTCACAAAAAAATAGAAAATTATGGAAAATTAAATAATTTCAATATCTACGACTATATAAAGCGCGAAAAATTTTTTAGTACTTCTAACATAACCTTAAATGTTTTGCTTAAAAATTACATTTCAAAAAGGTTTTAAAATATTGGCCGTATTAGACCGCGATTAGACTAACAAAAATGTGTAAAATGAAGAGTTTTGAGTTAAAATCGTCAATTTCATGTTGCGATTTTTTTCCGATTTCTGAGAAAATTGGTTTTATTGTATTGACACAGTCAGAAGTGAAGATACTAGACCAATGAAAAGCGAAATCAATATCATTTGCAAATTTTTTTTGTACATTTTAATTAATAGTTTTTATGACAAAGTGGCATTTTTTTCATTAATAGAAATATTAAAAAAAGCTGCACTCAAACTCTTTTAATAAAACCACAAATTCAAAAGTGACCCATCATAACCCTCGATCATCAAGGGTTAAATTTTTTTTTGCCAAATATGTGCAAAAACAAAAAAAAATCGTGCCATAATTTTTTTTTGCCAAAAGTTGTCATATTTCCCATAGTGCACTGAACAGAATGTTGCAATAAAACAATTAGTTGATGTGCTTTGCTAAACTCGGTCAAAATCGCTTAAGCGGTTACAGAGCCAAAGACGAAGAAGAAGTAACAATGATTTAATTGCGCTTAGAAAATTGTACTTCTAATCACAAGGAGATTTTGCATCGGATTTTTCATTGCTTTGAACTTTTCATGCCCACCTACTCAAGTTTAGTTGGGAAGGACTTTTTTCAAAAGGAAGTTTGGCTTCACTTTACACAAATAGAGAGGATATCTAAGCTCTAAGAAAACGAACCTAATACAAAGCATATCAGAATGACAGGTCTATGGCAAATTAGGAGCCAACTTAAAATCTTTCTAAAAAAAGATACCTATATACTATCTCTAATTTACTTTATTTATTTTTTCTTCGCACAGGCACAAAGGTTTTCTCAAAGATTGTCCGAATGGTCTACTGACGGAGCAAGTAAGTAAATGAATGTAATTTATAAACATACTCGTCTCTTAATTTTTAAAGCCTCTATAAAAGAGAACATAAATTTTTTGTTCGAACATTTTCACACATATTCAATACACATACATACAATGAATCCAATCAAAATAGTTTTATGTAATACTTTAGCTGAAATATTCGTTGCCTGATTTAAAACAAAAGTACTGCAAATAAACCTAAACGGTTGCTTTATAGTGCTAAAGATGTATGTATGTGAATATGTACCTACAAAGTTTACAAACAAATTTATTGCCTGCTATGTACCGGAAAGAATAATGCAAAACAAAACTCAAATTTATGGCGAATTTCGCCTCGGATTGTAAGAACAAAAAAACCCCAGAAAACATAAAACTTACAAAATGTGTGTAAACCAGCGACCAAAAACCAGCAAATGTATGTACGTTAGGGTAGTCCCAAAATGCATGTGGAAAAAGTTAAGTCGGAATTTTTAGGCTCTAGCCGCCTAGGATTGTTCTATACCGAAAATATATACCTTTATTTTTATATTTTGAAATCTAAAAATCAAAGCGCTCAAATCAAAGCGCTCGAAGTTGTACATGTATTTTATATGGGAAAAATAAAATTTTTCGTAGAAATGGTATAGAATTCTTGAAAATCAATATTTTACGATCGGAAAACTGTGTTTCACCTGAGACTCCCAGTACTAATGCTCAATTATTTATTTAACCATTTTTTTATAGTAACTATATTTTATAGGTCCCTCAAAACCCCCAGAAAATGCTAGAATAAACAATGGGGGATAAATAAAAAATCTTTAGTATGAAAAAATTGCTTAATAAACAATTGGATATTGTTACTGGAAGTCTTCTGAAGAGCACCAGAGTTTACCAATCGAAAATGTTGATTGTCACGAATTCTATACCATTTATAGGAAAAATTGTTTTCCCCCATATAAAATACATGGAAAACTTTGAGCTCTTTGAGCGCCTCTAAAAAAATTTTGGTTTCAAAATAAAAAATTTGGGTATATTTTTTTCGATATAAAACAGTCCAAGGCGATGGGAGTATTAAAATTCTGAATTTACTTATTTTGGATGACCATAATGTACATACATATGTAGATATGTATGTAAGTGTAAGAATAAAGCCGAAGTAAACTTCAAGTGTTTGTGGTTAACACTAAACCATAACGGACGATTTAAATTTCTGTTTCTACCACTTTACGCCACTGGGATTTAGAATTTTTACGACAAGCAGTAAAAGGCATACTTTCTTATATAACTACTGGCAGAAGAGAAGCAAGCAAATACACATGGTCTGAGAGTGTTTTTGTTTTTGCGTAAAATTTTTTTACCAATTTTATTCAACATTTCTCAAACTAACAACCTACATGCATATGCACATACATACCTATGTACATATATCTAAGTTGAATGCATATGTATGTAAATTTTTCAAACGGACATCTTCTGTTTTTACAACACTTGTATATGCATGCATATGTGCATATTAAAGTATTAAAGTTTGCATATGTATTTGCAAATACTCGTAAAAATACAAAAATATGATGGCTCTCATTTCAAAGGGTTTTTTTGTGCCGGCTAGCCCTTGCATTGTTGTTGCTCTCTTATAACTATTTAATCCATGCGCTTGCTCCACTACACCAATATATGAAAATATATGCATTTGGCTTGTTTGTTGTTACTGCAGCTTGACGTATTAAACGAATATTCTGCCGTCAGCTGTTCGCTTCATCGTTATGCAAACGATACACAAGCCAGCAGACGCCCACCTCACTCGCGCAACAGAAACCATAACAAAAACAATAATATTTTCTTCGCTTCAACGGCTATGCGCCTAAAAATATGCCTGATGAATGAAATTTATGCTTGAAATGTAGCTTGAGTTGAAGGCAGAGGTACGGTGCGGCAAGTTCGATAAAAGTTTTCGTAGATAAAAAAAAACACCCGTGCTGGGATTCACAACAAACATTAATAAGCGAACAGCAGGTGTGCCTAAAAATATGCAATGCCTTCAGAGAAATATTTCGGTTTCTTCTGTTAAAAATTTCTTATTGCACCTCTTTCATTTATATGATTTCGCACCACTTTACATTTAAAGGCCAGCATGCAGCTCTCAGGAAAAGCAGAAGCTCCATATAAAATGACGTAAAAGAAATGGCTAAAGCTCGGAACACTTTGACGACAGCAAGCGACAAGCAGCATCTGTCAAATTTTAAATACACACGTTCTTACGGACACAATTATTTTGACGACAGCACGACATCTTGGCTGCAAGACTGCAATTGTCGACGTCGCCAAATTAAATCTATTTCTAATTTTGCCGGCGACAATGAGTAGATGTAGTGCTGCAAAATTAAATTGTCGCAAAATTAATCACATATTCTTGATTGTTCATGTTTTTCTTATTTACTTAAATAAAAATACACAATTTGTGAAATAAATATACCAAAATGTCAAACTTTAAAATCAGCTGTTTGCTATGTCGCTGAGGTCTTCAAAATGTTTAAGAAGCTGGCTTCAAGGCGACATTTGTCGACAAAATGATGTCGCTGTCGTTACGTCGTGAAGTTGCAGTCGTCAAAGTGTTCCGAGCTTAAGAATGGTTTAGGAATGGTTTTCTAAATTTTTTTTTTTTTGTGAAAAAAGCGGCAACCCATGCTTGCAAAAGAAATATATGCCCATTCCATTATTCCTTGGGGAAAGAGTGAACCAACAGGCCGGTAAAGTATCAGATGTCAAAATTCCTTGGAAACACACACGAAACGGATTTTTTTTCTTGACAATTTTTTTGAGAGCTGCATACTGGCCTTAAAACGGTTGTACCTTAAAGTAGGGATGAATCGTTACCATTAAGATATTACTCAAATCAGTACTACCTACTCAGTATCGGAAAGGTATCGATTACTTGTGCATAGAACCACGATTTTGCATATTTTTCAAGGTTGTTGTATTTTTCTTCACAAAAAGTCCTTTTAGGTGTAGTCGCACGGGTGGTTTAGGTAGCTTATTCAATGGTTAAGCGCTAACTGCCAATTCCGCATGAGTTTTGGTCGGGAACTGTCTGGACCGCATGCATGATGACTTAATATCGTTTTAGTCCGCTATTGACGTACCTGTTGGGAGAGTGACGAGATGGAACATCTGACAAACTTGTACTGGGGGTGCGTTGAAACATACTTTTAAGAAAAATTAATTCGCCAGATGGCGCTAGAGTCGAGTTATTCAGAAAATTTTATCGTATATTGTATGACCAGATTTTGATGAAATTAGAAACGTATACTGGGGTGCGACGAGAAATACTTTCACGGAAAATGGATCCGCTGGGTGGAGCTTTCGATTTGTATGAAGCCTGTATATTGTAAACGGAGTTCAGATGTGTATTTAATAGAAAATATCTAAGCTTAGGATACACTCGGCAATAACGCTTTCACTATGAAACAGCCTTGGAACTTTATTGTTTAGTTTTTTAAAAAGAAGTAAGCCACGCAGACGTAGTCGTGGCTATCAGCTAGTCAAATTATAAAAACTATTTTGAGAAAATTTTAATTTTAGAATACATATCATAAAAATTAACATAAAATGTGGATTTAATTGTGTGTGAATAATTCAATGTTTCTCAATTTCGATATTGGAAGTCTCCACTTTTCCTATAATCATTTATTTTTCCTATGCAGTTTAAAATACATGTATTATCAGAAAAAAAAATCGTAAAAATAATCAACGCTCAACGCTCAGTTGGGCTTGAAGTATTATTAAAAAATTTGTTTACCTAAACTCACTTTATTCTTCAGAAGCACCTCGCAGTTTATGTGTTACTCGTGGGATTTGTATTATATTTATAAAAAAAAAATCCCACCTTTATTTAACTAAACCACTGTGCGCTCTGACGTCATCGCTATTCGCCCGCACCAACACCGCCATAGTTAGCCAACGCTTTACTAAAGCTCTTATGCCACCGAAACACTTGATTTACAAAACAAACAGGCTACAACAACAAAATACAAATAACTAACAACGGAAACAACAACTACCACAAGTGTTGCAAAACAATCATACAGAATTTACGTAGTAAAATAAAAAATAATATTTAATAATAAAACAAACAACATGGCGCCATACTTTGCCAACTTCCATGTTTTCCTGCTAGTCATAACACAGTTTTCGCACACACCCACGCCGGCTTTTAATACCAGCCAGATTTACAAGAAAAAACACACACATATCCCTTACACATACTACCAGGACAAACGCTTACTACTTGCGTGCTCTACTTCTCCTCTTAAGGCCACTTGACGACCGACACCAAAAGTCGTTGCATTTCACCACCAACATGTCAAGATTATTTTTTTATTACTTTCTGTTGTACGAGTAATTTTACGAATTTTGTATTTATGTTCTCACAAAATTTTCTTTTGTTGTACTTTACAGGGTTTTATTAAAATTTACAAACAATTCTTCCCGCAAGGAGATCCCAGTAAATTTGCCTCGCTGGTATTTCGTGTCTTCGATGAAAATGAGGTAAGTTAGTCACTGCAGTCGCCAATAACATTCAGAGCGAAGTAGAAGTAGAAAGAGTATATATATATATAAAATAATAAATACATACATACACAACCAAAATGGCAGTTTGTAAAAACAACAATCAGCATTGCTTTGTCGTCCATTCCCATTGTTCTATTTGGCAGTGGCAGAAAGTATTAGTTCTGCTGCAGCTTTTACGCGAATTGGCTGCTCATTTATTAATCCAATTCAATCGTAGTCAATCTATTTCCATTCAATTCCTTTCACTACAATCGATTCCTAACATTTCGATGGAATATTGCATACATTCAGTATTGTATATCTTTCTTTAAGTCAATAGCTTGAATGAAATTTTAACTTTTAAATTAATCAACAGCGAATTTGAACTATAACTTCTTGCTTTCTTTTCAACTTTTCTATTTTTCTTCTTCTCTTATTCTTAACTGCTCACGGTTTACCTACTTGTTTATTCGCTTTTGTCTTTTCTGCCCTTTTCTCTTTTTTTCCGCCTCTCCCTCTTTGCTCCTCTTTATTTCAGGATGGCGCGATTGAGTTTGAGGAGTTCATTCGAGCGTTATCGATTACATCGCGCGGCAACCTGGACGAAAAGCTGCAATGTAAGTACAAACAGGAATATATACGCCGCACACGTAGATTACTGCAAATTACTAGGTATGAATAGCTAAGCAGAGATTTGCACGATATTAAATTTTTATACCTGTGAATATTGGTATGGCATGCAGTCAGTGGGGTTGGAGAGGGAAATTTAATACATTTTTTTTTCGTAGAATACGTGAGCATGAACGACTGTTTAGGGAATTTTTGAGCTATTAAATTTCATTAATTTAAACTGGTAGTCAAGAGACTAGAAATTCAATTAATACTCAAAAAAACTAGAAAGGTCTTTCCAACAAAAAATGTCAATAAATCTCGTAGGAGACTATGAGATGGTGGCTCAGCCCGACAGGTCGATGTCCTCGCCTAAGGCAGGCATCAGCACTACTGAAGTGATACGTTGGACGGAGTGATGTAGGCGGAGAAAAACACTTTACGGCGTCTGCTACAGTTGCCTTTTAATAAGTGAAAGTTCGGCGTAAAATTTATGAAGGGAACGAGAGCCCGAGGAAAAAGTAAGATGATACTACTAAAACTGTTGTCCTTCCAAGACATAAAAATCATGATTGGCGGTTTCAATGCTCTTAAAGGGGCCACACTCATAGGCTTCGCGCCTAAACGATGAAACTTTCAATAAAACACCAAGGCTTAGAAACTACGGCGTGGCGGGGAGCATTGTAGTCCGTGTCCGAATCAAAATATACTACAAATAAAACGTATGTGCAATCTGAAGGCTCTACAGCAATTTGGTTGGACTAAAATTACTTTTTTCTGGAAAGTGATCTAAATAAGATAGTTAGGAGACACAGTGGGTGCTCAAAATATATTTAGTTCATTAGGCAGCTGATGTATTTCCCATTTCGTTGCTTTGGGAGTTCTAAAGAAAACGTAAGGCAGCTGCGAAGAAAGTACCGACAAGTCTCAAAACAGCTACGATAATAGGAGTGGGAGACGATGTTAAGTCATAACGCTGGAGTTCCTACATATTATGGAAACAATTTATCAGGAGAAACAACTCAGAAAATTCCCTGTCAACCTTGCTGTTATCTGCAATATCGCTATGCACTGAAAACTAAATCAGCCTAATTTAAAAATACGGCTACTCCGAAGCCACCCAAATAGCGGCCAGTCACTGCTTCAACAGTTTTGATAGCAGCTCTGGGGAACCTAAAGCACTGCTGTCAGAATAGCCCTTGTTTCTTCATTTCGAATAGAATTCTCCGTTAAACCGAAAAAATCGGAGGGGCACCACCGAAATATTTCCAGAACTCAAAATAAATTTTTTTTATTTAGTAAAAAGTTATTGAAAAGCAAAATGGATGATTAGTTTTGGGCCCCCATACCTTAACTAAGTATAATTTTATTGGATACATTTGAAAAAACAATAGGACCGATTTCGATGAGAAAAAGTTATATGTAATATGTTAATTTTTAGGCATCAAATATATAGGCAACCTATTGTTGTAAGTAAATATTTATAAGCATAGATGCTCTTTTTTAAAATTAGGAGCTTTGCGAAACAACTATTAGCTATTCAAGAGTCTTTTAAGTAACAGCAAAGTACGGAAAGTGCCATTAATTAAATTATTCAAATATTTGTTATCACGAATGAATTCTACATGATTATGTAATCTTTCAGGGGCATTCCGGTTGTACGATGTGGATAATGATGGCTACATAACGAGGGAGGAAATGTACAACATAGTGGACGCAATATACCAGATGGTGGTGAGTAAAACAGTTTTTAACCATAAAAAACTAATGCTCTTCTAGTTTTAAATCCCTTACATACTTATTATTTATGCACTTTTATTTTCACACTAAAATTTATCACTTTCTATACCCCCCACCTCTAATAGGGCCAACAACCACAGACGGAGGAGGAGAATACACCGCAAAAACGGGTCGATAAAATATTCGATCAAATGGATAAAAATCATGATGATCGGTTGACGCTCGACGAATTTCGTGAGGGTAGTAAAGCTGATCCACGTATAGTGCAGGCGTTAAGTTTAGGTGGTGATTAACCAAAAGAGACTTAGTTTAATTCTGTAAAAGATTAAACGAGAAAGCGCAAACAAAACAAAGAAAGAAACTTAACAAAATAAACAATAAAAAATGAAGAAATATTCATAAAAAAAAAACTAAATACATAGCAAGGGAAAAAAGAAGCAGGAGAAAATTTAGGAGGGTGGTAAACATAATTTCTTGCAAAACATATTTATAAATTATGAGAGATGAGTCATAATCAAAAGGAAGAAGAACACATTAATTTACACAAACAGAAATGAACAGCGTAGGCCTGAGTTATGCCAATGGCAGTCAGCTGGCACTTGCATATATTCAAATGTACATACACACATACTTGCATACAAAAAAAAAAATAGCCATTAGTTTACTTAGCATGGAGTTAGGCTATGAAAAACCACAACAACATACAAACGAAAAAGTTTCAAGTAATAAGGCAAGCGGTAGAAAAGCTTCGAAAACCCAACAAAAAAAAATGTATTTCAAGAATGCAAAAATAAACGAAATAGCAAATTATATTCAAAGCGAACGTAGGTGAAACGGGTTAAGTGTAGATTACCCAGCCAAGTTGCAACACTAAAACACTGTTGTTGTACCGCTAACGTACACACACACACACACACACACACGCATACGCAAACATAGTTTTAGTGAACTCAACGAAATAGAAATCAAAATCTGCCTGAAACTGGCAGTCTTATTTGCAAAAGCAGCCAAAAAGGATTTAGAGAAATTACTGAAATAAAAGTAAGCATCAAAAAAAGCCAACTTCTAAGCAGCAGATTTGTAGGAAGTAAAAAAAAAAGTTTTCGCGGAAGTAATATTGGAATTCATAGAGAAAATTAAAATTGACTTTAAACACTGCAGCTAAAGGTCGAATACAAAGGTGCGTTTTGAACAATTGCAAAAAAAATTTAAAAATAAGATTAGAGGAAAAAAGTAAGAGCAACAAATTTCACACTTTCTATTTGCAATATGTATATAAACATACACAAGTATAAAGTAACAACAAAAATTAAATACAATTTGAATTTATTTTGAAAATGGCATAAGTCACTTCGCACCTCTTGTGCTCAAACGACCGGTTACTTGTAACCGAATGCAACGATCTTTCTATCTCCATAAACAAGACCCTGTACCTTTGTTTGGTGAAATTTACCAAATAACCGATGCGTCCAGATACAAGTGACCGGTCATTTAGGCACAAGAGGTACGAAGTGACTTATGCCACTTTCAAAATAAACATAAAACATAAACATTTTGAAGGCTTGAGTGCTTTACAGATGACATTGCCAGTTGCGATAAACAAAATATTTATTAATCAAACATTCATGCCTGCGCAAAAGCTTCTGTATAGATATTGGGCCTCTAACATAAAAAGTAAGCCTACACTTTTGGTGTGTGTAGGGCCCATTATCTGAAGCACAGCACGCAAGTTTGGCAAACATTGAAAAATATTTAAAGAAACGAAATTGTTATGAACAATGACACCAATTTATAATATAATTAATTATATAAATTCATTACTCATAAAGAAATCTATTAGAATATTAAAAAAAAATCTTCAAAAATCAATTGCTTTGTTTTTTTTTTCTTTTAATATGCGCCCTTCAAGACGTTAAAAACTTTGCACTTTCCTTGAAGTTTCAAGTTAATATCTTAAATAATCAAAAAAATTAAAATAAAATTAATATTCACGTCATGAAAATTTCACTCCAAATTCTGGATAGGTAAGCGAAGTGCAATAATTTCTAAGCGCTGATAATAATAATCTTAGTCCAATCAAGCTATAAAAAATAGCAATTTTTTTAGTATCTATGTTACGATTCGCGAATAATTTCGATTTATGCATATGAGGAGATTTTAAAACAACTCTTAAATATTTACTTAGAAATCATTCAAGTTGCCATCTTCGCTTAAGAACTAAATTCTTATAAGACCCTCATACATTTTTTTATTGACTGTTTTTTCCAAACATGGGGACTGTTTTTTCAAACATGGTCAAACATGGATAGTTTTCATAATCTTTGTGTAACCCAATTTCATGAAAAATGTTGAAAATTCTATTTCATTTAGAGCTGTTATGAATTATGAATTAGGGAACAAAAAGCCTGGTGGTGAGGGCAAGAAAATTGGTGTGCAAACTTATAACAGAACTTTATTCAATTATTCTTTATCAATAGATTAGGTACTGAATTTTAGTATACAGAATTTTCATCATCACAATGGTTTGGCAAAAATATTCAAATACTGAGTTTATCTTCAAACTGTTGGAGTAATTTACTTCTTTAGTTCAAGAGTTGAAAAGAAGGATAAACTCACAGATGTCCTGTTAAAAATGTTCCCTGGATGCCACTATCCAATACCTACATATGTAGAATTGCTCGTTGATTGCAAAAATCGAGTTAATTTCCCCGTTATTCAGCTAAAAAAAAGTGGTTTCGCTTAATCACACATATATTACGAATCAATTGAATAATCTTAATATGAATAACAGTACATACATCACATTTCGATAGCCTTATAGCTTCGGAGAAATTAATTAATAATTCCAGATTTTTTTTTCTATGTATAAAAAAAATTTAAAAAAAAACAAACCCTAACAGGAAAAAATTTAAAGAATAACAGTTTATGTGTAATTTTTTTCCCTGATCTGTTACAAAAAACAAAGTACTCATGAAGAAAATCAATATTCATACGCCATGTAACAAGCACTCTTTCGTGCTCAGATTTCATACAAAAAATCCTAGCTCATTTTAATTTCACTAATTCCTTTTTTATTTATCCATCGACTTTCTTCATTAAATAGTAGCTTGATTTTTTTTTGTAAGGGAACAGGCTTTTATACAAAATCAAACAGTCTACCAAAAATTTTTTTATTTTTTTTTTATTTTTCCCCTGTTAAAATTGGAATGATTTATTAATTTAACAGACACTAACGGGCCTATCGAAAGTGATGTATGTATTTATATACATATATACATAGGTGGCTTTCCTGTTTGCTTCGTGGCGTGTGTCCATTTTTTTATCAAGGATATTTTTCAGGGCTTTACGAGCCGAAAAACTACGGTAAATTATCGATATTACAGCAGTGAGTCTGAATTGATAAGGCTATCTTAGGAACCTAACTGGAATTACATACCAGTCTCAGTAGCAATATTTTTAAATAAAAATTTTAAATAAAATGTGCCAGACCCTGGTGCATAACGGAAGGTTAAGGCAGGCTTAGTTGAACATAGAAATGAGTTCAGTTTCTTTTTTAACTTTTTTTGTTAAAAGATGTATAGGAAACATATAAATTATAAATAATTCTTAACAAAACAATGTAAACTTAGTTGAAGTCATTAACAATTGGTGATTGGCCTTAACGTCAAAATTTTTAGCCCGTTAAATTGTGGCAGCTGTAGAAAAATTCTTATAAATTTTTTCATTAAGTAGAATTGTATACCTATATGTATTAAAATACATATCTACATAAAAGCAAAGCCAAGAAGTAAGTATTTTAATATTTTTTGCAAAATTATTATTTTTTTGAAATTTTTTTAATTCTCAAGTTTTTAAGCATGATTCTTTTTTTCTAAGATTACATTTGATATACTATACTATATATGTATATTAGTAGCAATTTATTTGGCATTGAACTTTTTTCTATGTGAACTTTACAAAATTATTTGCATGTTTCCAAATTTATAAACACTTCTTCTACGCTGAAAAAAAAAAACACGTTAAAAAATTTTTCTCACATCTTCTACTTATGCAAATTTAAGTAATGCATTTTTACTTAAATTACCCAATTACTTTTCCGAAATATTTTTATAACTATGCACAAAAACGGAGCTAAACAGCCTGATTCAGTATACTTCATAAATTCTAAATATTTACTACTTTACAGAAATAAAAAAATTTTCCGACCTGTGACATTTGACCATAATTTCTAAAGTAAAATTTTCCGCCGAATACGAATATGTAGTCAAGATAAGAAAAAGTAGCAATGGTTTTTAAGGCATAGCAAACTATTTTTTAGATCTTAAACAAATGCGCTCACTTAAATAATAGCAGTTTTTTCAATATAATTGTCCTATCTTAAATTGTTTTTGATATAAAGGAAGCTTATTAAATCCACATGTAAGCTTCCTAAGCTAGTAGCTCGGTTGGAAAATGTTTTTGTCGTAGATGATGGGAAACTTAATAGGCTTCACTAATGTAAGAAAAAGTTTTAGATTGGGCAACTATACCAAACAAAAACTGTTATTGAGTTGGTAGACTCTTTTCAGATCCCAAAAAAAACAAACTGTGGCTATATCTCAGAAACTGTTCTACTTTTTTATGTTTTGACTTCATATACAGATTCGGCGGAAATTCAGCATAAGAAATTATAGTCAAATGCCACAAGTCGGATTTTTTGTCGACAAGTGTTATCAATATTAAGCAAGAAAACCCGTTTTGCTCCAATTTATTAGGAAACACTACATTTGATAGAGAAAGTATTATACAGTTCCCCATTAGTGAAAACAGTTTGTCTTGATCGCCGTAAAACTGAACAAGATAAAGACTTACCGCCTCGTGAGAATAATGTTTGCTTAATTTGAATTGAAGTGAACTTAAATGCACACTTACACATACATAAGAGCATACACACATTCCCTATATAGTTAGCCTTTTCAAACCTTCTACTCAGTTTTATGTCCACTTTCTATGTTCCCGATTTTCTTATACTTCAACTATCTTTTTCAGTGTATCACCAATCTAAAATAATTTCTGTTTTATATGTGGTTCAGCTTTGGTTTTAGAAAACAAATAAAATGCCGTTGTATAAATAAACAAAAGAAAGGTAAACAAAAATTAATTTAAAAGTTGTTGCATAACGAAACTTGTTGGTAAAAGAAGTTGCTTAAGCAGCAATTTATATATGAATGTATATTTAAATTAAAGCAAATCAAATGTACTTAAATAATTCAAATATTTTTTTGTTAAATTGAAATACATAAATAATTTAAATATATTTCAACAAAAATACAGCAAAGTTTTTTTTTTATTTTAATAGAAAAGTTAGATATAAAACCTTTTATTAGAACTATAACACTAGTTTAGACGAAAAATAATTAACCGCTATAAGCTTACTTTGGGTCGCTGAACACGAAAATAATACACATTTTTTCTCAAAGAAGCATTTTCGAGACTTTTTCGAAAAACGCCTTTTATGGTACTTTTCGCAATAATTCGTCAGTGTCTCATAAAAATCATGCAATCGACCTAACCGATTTGTATAGACAGAAAAAAAAAATATTAGCGTTACTTGCGAAAATTGAAATTTTCAATAATTTTTGAAAATTACACATTTTCAATTGAAGATTTTTTTGGAGTATTTTAAAATTGTATGTAAAACATTAATTATTAAAATAAATTTTTAACCTAAAATCATCAAAATCGGATGAGAAATGTACATAGATGTTATGGAGCACTTAGTAAAAATTTTAACTTTGTATTTTTCACACAATCACGCGCTTGGTCGAAAATAAGCTTTTCTTCTAGAATTCGCACCCAGTATTTTTTACTCAGTGCTCCAGGACATCTTAGTTTCTCATTAAATTTTCATGACCCTAGTCTCAAAATTTACTGTAGTGATTTATCTTTACACCAAATTTTTAAGATACTAAAAAACAAAAAAAAACAAAAACAATCAAAATACGTTCGCTGATTTTTTCGTAAAATATTGACGAGTAACTGCGAAAAGTAGCAAAAAAACAAGTTTTTCGAAAAAAAATCTCAAAAACGCTTCTTTGAAAAGAAAAAAAATGAGTAATGTTTATGGACTCAGCAACACAAAATTAGCCTGATAAACATTTTGTCTTGAGCTCACGCGATTACCACAAAATTTTTAGAGTAGCGTACTTCACTTATCTAATTTCAAATTGAAGCTTGGTAAAAAATTTGCGAATTTTTGAATAGACCAACGCAAAAAAAAAATGTTTAATTTGTAAATTACAATATCTTAATTTTGTAACAAAAAATGCAAGCAAATAAATAGTTATCAAATGCACTAACTGCATGTTTACTAAATAAATACAAAATCCTCTGCCTTAAACCAGTACCTTCTCTTTCTATGTATTTCTTATTAAAATCTTAGCTGCACATACTCGTATATATCTAAATATATATTTTGATATATACATTTGTAAGCTAAAATGCCTTTTCTGCATTTGTACACCGTCTGCGGCTTCATTTTTATACACACATACATACATACATATATGCAAGATCTTCTAAATAAGAAACTTTACAAATGGTTTTTTTTGCTACAAATCCATATATCTTATTAAGTACTACTGTCCAGTCCAGTCTTATGCATATGCATATCTGTAATAATAAACATTTTTAGACCAACATACATACCTAAATATATATGTGTTATATCTAAATGTTGTTTGCATACCTACTGCTACTTATTTTTATAGCATTTCGTTCTTAAAAGTATATATGTATTATTGTCCACATTTTATGTGTTTTTTCCATTTTATCTTACTACTCCTGCTATTGACTTTCCCTTCTATAATTTGTTCCTTCCTTCGCATGATGCTTTATTTAGCTTCCGTTGTTTTTCTTACCAACATAGCTTTAGTATTATTTATCCTTTTCTTGGTTGTACATATTTACTTTTTTAAGTACATCGTAAAACTGCGAATGATATGACGCACAAGAGAAATATCGTAATAATATTTACTACTGATTTAATTGTGCTTAAAGAAGAATTTTACATATAAAGGTAATAAAATGTACAGATTTTACATCTATAGCCAATGCAGCTTTAAAGGGTATAAAAAGTGGCATTATTAAAAGGATATTAATTATTTATAGCAATAGCATTCATTATAAAAATTACGTTTTCAAAAGTAATTTAAATGACTTCTCAAACAGTTTCTTAAATTTTTAAATATTGAAATTTTATTGGTTGCCCCACTGTGTGAAAATTTTAAACTCTCACGCACGGAGTAAGGATCGCTCCCGAGCTATCTTTAAACCAGTGCTGGCTGCGTAAATAATTTAAAATAAATAACTGATTTTTATGAATCTTACGCCGAATTCACACGGTTAGTGTATTTGTAGGGATTTTTATATTTCGACAGTTGGAGACTGGTGTTGTTTTGAAATTTTCGTATTGTACCGAACTCATTTATCACTGATGGCTTTAGTCGTCTATGGTACTGAAATTTTCTTAGCAGCTGATTTTCACGTGCCTTCGTACAATCGAGGCAGTTCACTGCTCTGCTCATCGAACACCTAAGGTGGACGCAGTGTTTGTAGAGAAAGGAGTACACTCTACCGACATATTGGCAAGATAGACTATCGCGATCTCCGTCGTTGTGCTTAGCTTGCGAACTCTTACAAGAATGGAGACACTTACCGTACAGCAAGAAGGAAGAGACATGTCCAATGGACATATATGTATAGTATATAGGTTCATTCCCAATACTGAAGACTGAATACTGAGGCTTTTCGAGCGTAGGGGCCCATTTGGCATCTCCAAATTTTTGGCCCAACGCTCAAGAAGGTGAGACCCAACTGACCAAAATTTAACCACAGGAGCTCTTGAGCGTCCCAGCTGCTCTATATATGGTGATAAGGTTTCAAGGGGCGATACTCTTCCGAGCCCAGTCCTCAACCATACAGTTTCTTGAAATTTCGGAGGTGAGTGGGCGGTCATACATTCCAAAAATTCCGGACTTTCCCTTACCAAAGCTGGACGAGACTAGTCTTAAACTTTCCTCCGAGGCGAAACGTAAAGGAAAAAGCAAGTACGGGCCTACCAGCATATTATACCTGTAAAAGGACTTTCGCGAAAAGCTGGGGCTGCAACCGCATACCATTCATGGTATGTAAACCACAGTCATCCGCCTATTAAATGAGCGGCAATGAGGGAATAATTGGAAGAGTGGAGAGACTCGCAAGTCTCAGTATATCAGGCGCCGTGAGAAACGCACCACAAGAAGGACTGAACATGATCTTTTACTTGAAGCCACCACAGTTATTTGAGTTATTTGTAATAGGCGCAGCCGCAAAAGGGGCCTTTAGACCGAGGACCTTCTTGTCTGAGGGGTAAAGTTAGTTTCAGTCAGGCAACGTCACTATATTCGTTGACAGTCAGGCGGCGTTGAAAACATTAGGCTCCAAGGTAGTAAAGTCTGGATTCACTGAGTCACGCCGAAACTTCCCTCTGCAGGTTTCTGGACGTATCAATATAGAAGGGAACGAACTAGCTAGTGATATAGCTAATCACGGCTCGGAAATGCAAATTTGCGAAACGTGTAAGCCCCTACCGCACCCGATTTCTTTTCTGCTAAGAAGGATTGAAGAATACACCACATACGTAACTCATTACCGAGACCCAATAAGATTCGTACTGAAGAACTATTGACACTAAACAAATCTGCAGTAAGGGCTCTAACCGGCGTCAACCCAGGGCATTGTGCTTTATCAACAAGCTCCCTCTGCTGAAGTTGTTGGGATGAACATGAAGAGGAATCGATTCACCAATTTTTAGGTCAATTCCCAGCTCTCCAGACAAGGCGTCTCAAGCATTTGGGGTCCCACTGTTTCAATAGCTTGGGGGGAGATAACGGAGGTGAAAATATCGAACCTCCACCGCTTCGGGATGGTAAATGCTTTGAAAGACTCTGTACTGACATTAGGGATTAATTTAGGATTGTAGGAGGTGCCTCCTCCTGGCACTCATAGAGAGCATTCACAATGGGCAAATCTGCCTCCGAGTGGAAGTATTAGTCATTCGTACGCGCGTTTCTAACCCACACCAACGGAATTATGAAGCTGCCCGTAGAATGGCAAATGGTCATAGATAATAATGGTCACTGATTAAAAAAAATAGATTTTCAATAAAGAACATTTTTTTTTCAAATTTATCCGCTGGAGCTTTTTACATGGCCCAATAGGTAACTATTTACATAGAAATAAAGCTTTTTAAATGTCCTACATAGACTCCAAATAACTTTTTAATTTATTATTTTCCTTCGGTCTTTGTTTATAATGTAAAAAGTTAATAGCGTACTGATAATATTCATCATTATTCGTTAGCTAAAATTTCTGTGCCTTTTAAAATTTTTAATTTTTCCGCAGCAACATATCTACATATTAAAATAAAACACATTCAAATCCAAGCAAGCTCTCGCAAAATGAAATTATTTTAAAATTCACTACCAATCACCAAGATAAAAATATTTCTCACTCATGAATAATGCTCATAGAAAGTAGAAATCTTCGCGAAATACCGAATACTTCGAAAGTAGAAATACCGCAACAACTACTCACTTAATATCGCTAGCTGCTTGTAAATTAAACGCTTAAATATTTTATTTTCATTTACTGACAACTAATTATTAATCTATAAAAAAATAAAATTAAATATATCAGTGTAAGTATTTCTATGCCTGAGAAATGCTATTTACTATTGAAATAAATACTTTTGAAATTAATAAACTGTGAAAATACTTAGCTGCAACAATCAAATTTAAGCGCTTACTTTACACTTAAATATAAATAACTGTGACATTAAGTTACAAATAAAACTAAAGAAACTCAAAACTTTTCAAGGCCTGTAAAAATATGTATGTAATTTCAACTGACTCAAAACTAATTATATTTATTAATAAAATATAAAATAAAAAAATGCTTATCAACACAAATGTTACAACTTACAATAAGCTTGAAAAGTGTGTGATTTGTAACTGTAAAAAAATATTTACAATTACAATAAATCAATTAACTCGCATAACTATTATGTAATTCAAATAATTATGTAAGTATAAAGTATTGCAATTTAATTATTATGAATAGCCAATCAATTGAGGTATTTCCTTTTGAAGTGTCAAAGGGGATACGCAAACCAATTGTAAATAAATAATGTTATTAATAAGTACGAGTGTGGGTGAGAAAAAGAGAATTTACAATACTCGTATAATTGAACAAACATAAGAAATATGCATCGATATGAAAGCACAGTCAATATTTGTTTCCAATATTTCCTTACAAAAACTCTTGCGGGACTAAAAGATCCAAAAAGTCAAATGTATAATACTGAAGCCCCGTTGACAAGTTGAGTGAACTTATTTTGTGATGAGTAATGCACAATTAGTAATTATTTAAATTTTATAGCTGCTTTCGGAAGGCATAACATTTTTTTTTTTTTAGAAAACTTGCAGAATAGTGGCTTACAACTTATCGCATTTGCTATACGCAAGATCAAGATTAAAGAAACTGTTTTTTTTTCGTTGGACGCTGTGCTATAGCGCTTTGTTTAAGTGGTATTTTCAAACCTGGATTCGCCTGTTTCCATCCAAAGTAAAAGAAATGGCGCTTGGTCGCCGCTGCAACTTTTCAGTCTTTCAAAGCTTCTCAGTTTTTTTTTTACAGAAGTTATTTGCTAACTGCTTTCTATTTGTCCAAGTACTCCAGTGGTACTGAACCTTTTGGTTATGAGGGACCACAAGTGACGCCAAATCCTTCTCCAGCTGGCCTTTTCATCGCAGACATGACCCTTCTCTATTACCCGCATCGCGACTGAAGTGCTTCTGTCCGTTCGTACGACATGATCAAGCCAACATAGCCACTGTATTTTAATTCACCGCACTATGCCTACTTTTATCGTCTGCGGATTCGCCATCGCCAACGCGCAAAGGCCTGTAAATCTTCTGCCGAATTTTTCTCTCCAAGAGCCGCCTCATTTACCTACTCAGTCCAAAGTAGCACTTGTTGGTAAGGGTGACTCTTCGTTGGATTTCAACGCTGACAATATTATTGCTGCTAATGCTGGTCTACAATTAAACGAAGTCATCTACTTTTAAAAACTTGAAACCGTCGACAGTGACGTGGATGCCAATACGCTTATACTCTGACTGTTTGTCGTTGTGTCCTCGTTTACCACCGGACCCACCTTATTTGCTTACCTATCTTTTCCAAGAAACCAGAACTGACGTGGCTTTTGTTTTTACCTATGAAGTCGATATCGTCGGCATACGCCAGCAATTGTTCGCTCTTGTAAAGTATTGTGCCGGAGCGGCCTAATCATTTCTTTGAGGTTGGGCTTCAGTCTCTTACACAATACGCTCGTTAAGACCTTGTAACCTAAGCTTAGAAAACTGATTCTGCGCACACGGCGGGGTCGTCTTCATTATGGATTGCGCAGAGGACTCTTAAAAACGAATCGTTGGCCATGCGTTCATATGACCATATTCTGCGTAAGAGTTGATGTATGCACTCCTCGCCGCCGTACTTAAGCAGTTTTTCAGCGCCGTCATTGGCATTCATAACCCATAATTTAACCTTTCATTTGAAGGGGTTTTTATATGGCGCGAGCCAAATCAAGCGAAAGCTAGATTTTTCACCTTCTCCCTTTAACTCGTTCCCAAACGGAGTTTTCGTCGCTAGAGATATACGTGAACAGACATTGTGAGCTGCAATTGAACCGTAGGCAAAAGAAGGTGCACACTTATTGAGCATTACTACTTTTATTCGGATATTTGGATCTTTCTAAGCATTCAACTCACATTAAATCTGCTTATTCGCATAAGAGGTTAGTTTGGGTATCGCGATTGGTATACAACTAACTATGTTCTGAGCTTAAGCCCTAGCCTAGTTGAAAGAAACTAGACTCCAAGTTGACACTGTGCCTGTCTTTATTGCCCAATGAAAATAAATTAGATCACCGACAAATTATTAAGAAAAAAACTGCCTCCTTTTCGCTTCAGTTGGGTTTAAAACTGGTCTAAATTTCGCTGACTTTTAGAGGGCAAAATTACCTCTAAGGTATTCAAAGACTGCTCTTTCAATTGATGGTTCTGTTGGGTACTATAAGATAGAAAATTGGCCTGGTCTACAAGACTATGTGACATCTAAATGCATATATTTCACTGCGGTTATTGCCTGGGATTGGGTGTTAGGTTAGGCTAAAATCTTCCTTTTTTTAATACTTCTAACTAAGGGGAATAAACTTGCGTGTTGAATTTTTAAGTACAGATGTTTAGTTAATTTTAAATAAACTATTTAAAAGATATTAGTAACGCACATATAATTTATTACTAGCTCTTTCTATTGACAATGAAAAAAGCTAAAATAATAGATAAACTTAGTAAACTTAAGTTATACATATAACGTCTAAAAAGTAGTTAAAAATAGATATGCAAGCATGGCCTATTGCGCAATGATAAAGCAATAAATTTGAATTTCTTTCTAACTTTTAATTCATAGATGTCCATTGAATTATAGAAAATGGTGTAAAGAACAAACACACACACACACACATACATAAATATACATAAGAACATACATACACATAGAACTAAATATATCAAAATTGCTAATTACTAATTACAATAATAATGAATTCAGCCCGTTATCAGCTAAATTAAAATATTAAAATGTAGTTGCATAAAATATTAATTAGCGGAAAAAAAATGTTTTTGTTAAACCCAAATCGAATGGTTTTTATGAAAAGCCAAAATTAAATGCATAAACCGAAGCGAAACAAACAAAAAAATTGTGGATATGAACTGCAATGCAGCAGAAACAAAACGACTATAAAAATCGACGCCACCTTTTTGTTAGTGCAAAATATAAATATTAATAATATTTTATCCATATATTTAAGATAAGCATACATACATACTTATACAAAAAAAAAAAAATAAATATACCTAATTAACTAAGCAAAAAGGAAAGCAAAAACAAAACAAGCAAATTAATATACATAACGGCCTATTGAAAATAGTTACGAGTATTTAAGTATGTACTTATTTATTAAAAAAAAAAAATGCAAAAATTTTTGAGAAACAAAAAACTAAACCGATTGTGAAGCTACAAAAAATACACAAAAAAAAAAACCAATATTTTTGAATGCAATTTGTGCAATCAGTTAATTAATTGAACAGTAAATAAGGCAATGTGACAAAGCTATGTAATTAAGCGTAGATTTTCGATGAGATTTAATGCGTTTCAGCGATCGATTTGATCAGCAAAATAAATGAATACAAAAAGCATACCAAATGATAGGGCAAACATTATTACTGCTATTAAAATATAAAGAAAATAAAAATAAAAAAAGTTCATCAATAAAACATTGAGTATACTAAATTTTTTTTCAGAGGGTAAGTATGTACGCGTTTCCTAGTGATGAAATTTAATAGTAAGTAAAGCGCCCGAAAGTATGCAATAATAAATAAAATATCGGGTGTACCAACAAGATTGCCAGATTTATCCCCCTTATTCTAGCAAAGTCCCAAAACTCAGCGCATCACTTTTGTGATTTCTACTGCGCCTCAAAGTATACAACAAATATGCCGCTACAAAAAAACAAAATTAATTTGTGTGCTTTTCCTTAGCACTAAAAATCTAACTTTAGTGGAATATTTTCGAGCGCAGTAGAAATCACAATAGTGAAGCGCTGTGTTTTGTGACTTTGTCCGAATAGGGGAGTTAAATTTGCCGCCATTTTGTTAACACCCACATACAAACCACGCGATTTAAGAATATGGAGAAGTATTCAAACGAGGCGTTAAATTCGAAACTTTGAGACTAAACTTACGCTGATGGATTAGAAGACCATTGTTCGTCGTCGTCCTTGTCGGTCCCTCGAAAATATTGCCACAGTAAGGGAATATGTTGTCGATAATCCAGGAACCTTTATTCAGAATGAAGAACTAAAGATTTCTAGAAGCACTATGCAATGAATTTTGAAAAAAAATCAGGATTTTCTCGCGTACAAGATTCAATTGGTGCAAGAAATCAAGCCAAGGGATCAAGAACAGCGCCGTTTTTTTTTCTTTAAAATTAAATCCGGCTCTCTTGTTGGGACACCCAACACTTAAATTCTAAATCAGCTTGTACGCAACACGCTTAGACCACTGCAACGGGAGAGCCAGGAAATCCCCGAAAACAAAATCCCCACTTAAAAAAAATCCCCAAATACATTTTTCCCAAAATCAAAATCCCAAACACAGAACTGGAATCTTTTCCAAAAGGGGTCGTTATTACAAGTTTCCAGTCCTCAATGAGAAAACGGCTTGTAGCAACATGTGGGCCTACTCACTGGGTTCTTGCTCTTAAGCACTTGACACTGACAGGCGTTAATACAAACGGGTATATTTCTGATTTAAGGTAAACGAAGCAGGACATATTTATACCTTTCATGAGCATGAAATGGTATAGGTCTGCAAAAGTACCGAAAATGGTTGTGAAAAGGGTACGATTTCAGCTATTTTTCTGAAAATTTTCTGATTCAATTTTTCGTTGACAAAACGTACTGGTGAACTAAGCTTAAGAGCGAAATACACCACTCAAGCGGCTTGACAAACCAATCGAAATATCCCTTTGCTGCAAGCCATTTGTGTTGTGTATGGGGTTTGACGAGTCGCTGAAGGCAATTTTAATAAAAATCCAATTTCTTTTTATTTTCTGCCCGCCATGTTGAAGTTTGATCAAACCGCTTGCGTTGTGTATGGGAAGTTTAAAGAATTTGCCCGCACCACTAGTATACTTTAGCCACTAGCGGCACCCCAGGCATACGCTCGCGGCACACCTTGGCACACTTTGGGAATGCCTGCTTTAGTCAGTATCGTTTGAATGACTATCGTTTCAAAGTTACATGATTCATGCCCAGGTGTTCATGAAAGGTATGAAGCCTTCGGCATAGCCTTGTTTTTACTTGTTATTTTTTTTTTGCGTCTGTCCCGCCTCCTAAGTTTAATTAGGAGCCTTTAAGAAAAGATGTATTTGGAAAAGCGCATCTGAGATGTTTTTAAGTACATAAATCGTATATACACTTCGACACTTAAATGTAGAGGTTTTTAAAGTTGTTGTGCCTTTCCTCCGTTTAAGGAGATACCGTTAAATAAACCTTGTCATTCCTTTTTTTAATTCCTAAACCAATTTTCTATTTGCAAATCACTTCAATTATAAAAAAAAAGCTGCTAAACCGAGAAAATGGCAACCAATTTGTTAATTCGCCACTCGTTGTATAACGCCATTCAATTTTGTATGCAAATATTTTATGCACACAAACATGATTTCACGCACACAACATATGCTTGTACAAATGTGTGTGTATATATGCAGCTAACAAAACTCATTATGGTAAATGCAATTACCCAAGGTAAATATATTTATTAAATATTTAGCTTCTATGCACTAATTCCATTAAATTATTAACTCGAATTATTCGAATACATATACAAACACATACAAATAAATAAAGCTTTAGCCATGCAGTTACACAACAAATTTGATTATACAAATATGGAAATTTGCTGATGTGGTCCTTTGAAATACTTAGTCCTGCACGCACACATGCATACGTAGACAAGTGCACAGGTATGCATGCTGCATTAAGCATGATTTTATTATGTTAACAGGGTAAAATTATCCGCGTTTAAGGTCAGGCGACCAAAGCAAATGCGGGTGGTTAGGGGCCGCGTTCACCAAGGTCGCCAAACGAGGCCATCGCCGTGCAGAAAATCACCATCGGAACAGTCCACGTCATCACCGAGCGTGTCACTGCCATCGGCCTCACTCTCCACTGGCTCAACATTCGCGCCATTGCCGTGATTATGCAACACTTTTCGGGCATAAGGATGCATTCGCGTTTTGCCAGTGGCTGCTGCTCGCGCTGCCGCCTCCCAAATGCGTTCAAAGCTAGAAACTGCTGAAGCGGATATTTGCATTTGTTGGTGCCTGGCGTGCGATGTTGCTGCTGCTGCCGCCGGCGGCGGCGTTGGTGTGGTTGCCGTTGCCTCCGCTGGCATATGCCGCAACGCTGTGCAAAATCTTTGGTAATGCTCATTTATATTGTTGGCCACCGTGCCATAACTAACTCCATTGCCATTTGCTTGCATTGCTAGCGCAGATTGAGCTGAGACTACGGCGGCTGGCGCTGTATTTGTTCCGTTGGCTGTCGTTGCGACGGCTGCTGCCGCTACTGCTGCTGCCATATTTGGCACATAATTCGCAATATATTTGATTAAATCTCCATTTATATGTTTGTTTTGTTGATCGTATTTTTGTAGGAAATGTGACACCTCCACAGCGCAGTGCTGAAATCCTGCCCAGAATTTCTCCATGTTCAGCGTATCGCTGTGGC